GTAATGGTGGCATGGACAGGATTTCCTTAACTTGCGCAGTTCCCGGGCTCTGCCTTTGTAATGCTCGCCTGGGCTCTATCCTCTCTAGGCTGCCTACTGGGTCTGGCTTCTCCCTTGGGCCTTGCTTCTCTTGCCTCCTAATTCTCTGACCTTTGGCCCTTTCTTGGGTTGGAGGCCTTTAGCTGCCTTGGAGAAGTGAGTTGAGGCAAGAGAGTGGTGTATCCAGGAAGGCCTGTTGCTGGGCACTGGAGCATCCACTGCCTGCCAGGCCATCTCCCCAGGTGGTGTTGTACTCTTCCTTGTGGTGATCCTCTTCCATCTGCTCAGTATGGTGGACCAGWAGACCAGGGAACTCAGAGGAGCACTTGCTATCCTCCGTTGATGGTCTGGGGGGAAGGAGGGGACCTCCTTTCCCCAGACTTGCTGCTCTGCTGTAGGGGAGGGAGCCCCACTGCCACTTCCTGCTCCCTGGCCCTTCCTGCCACCTAGAATTCCAGCTCATCTTTTATTCCTTGGAGGTAGAGTCTGCAGGTCAATGGGGAAGGACACACAGCAAGTGAGTGGCCAGAGCTAGGTCCCATTTCCATGGCAAGTTTAGACCTGGCTGTGCATCTTTAGATCAGAGTGGAGGCCAGGCTGTGGGGACCGCACTAAAGCCCAGAGCGAACCATCTGGCCTCCCTCAGTACCCAGCCCTGCCTGGTGGGGTCTCTCTGCCAGCTCTCATGGGGCTGACCTCCTAGGGACCTGGCTTCCCCTTTTGTTAACCCTGGGGCCCCTGCTGAGCATACAGTTCTCTGGTATCTGAGGAGGCCATAGAAGCCCAGCTTCATCTCATCCAGGCACTTCCTGCCCTCTGTGCTGTCTCTGGGTCCAGGCTGAGCCTGGCAGCTGGGCTAGGAAGGCTGTGGCAGGAGCACATGAGTGGGCATGGAGGACCACAGAGCCTCCCCACCAGGCTCTTGTGCCCCCAGTGCCTCCCTGCTCCCTGGTTGCCTGCACTGTGGTCCTCCTATGTCTAACCACATGGCCTGTCCAAGTCCCACACAGGCCACATGGAGCACACGTCCCTGCTCCACCCTAGCAGGTCCCACTTTTGGGGTGGTGGTGAGAATCAACAAGAGCTTCACTACAGGGGGGTGTTGCTGCTCTTCTTTGGCACTCTTGTCCATACAAGGCCCTTTCTTTGTTTTATTTTCACATAACATGTTTGTTCCTCATGCTTTTCTCATTCCCCTTGGTCTCCCGGAAGCACCCACATTAGCTAATGAAATATTCTGGGATCTGTTCCCAGATAATTTGTCTTTGAAATATATAGAATGTTGTTTCATAGATGTTCATAGCATTTATAGGAAGGGCTCTGGACCATCAATTTTCTGTTTCTTAAGCCAAGAACAAGATTTAGGTGGCCTTGTGCAGTGATGGGCAAGCACCTGGGTGCTGGGTGCTTCAGAGGTCAGTGGGGTCAGTGAGCTCCTTTTAGCACCATCCCTGGGGTGCCACTTCTCCAAATAGTAGAACACCAGATGGACTACACAGTTGGATTTCAGATGGGACCTAATTTGTACCTCTACTTGCTGGAACTCTTAAGCATCCTTCAGTAGGCTTTGGCCATTCAGTTTCCCCTTGGGGAACTCATGATGTTTGTGGCATTTTCTGTGGGTGTTCTTGTCTTTTCCTTGTTGATTATAGGATCTCCTTCAAATTTGTGATTAATCGCTTTTATTCACTATACAGTCAGACCTTTTACACTTAGGTTTTTCCTCTCTCTCACTTTTTTTCCCCCAATACTAAGGATTGAACCCAGAGGCATTTTACCACTGAGCTACATTCCCAATCCTTATTTAGACAGGGTCTCACTAAGTTGCCAATATTCCCATCTTGCTGCGAATATATGCATGTACCATAACACCCACTGCAAATATAAACATGTGCCAGAACACTACACTTAGGTATGTGTTTGTTATATATTTAGGTTTTTAATCACCTTTATCCGTAATATGGGGTAATGTCCATGTTGAGCATTCACATAATGACCGAGTTTCCTGCTATCACCTGCGATGCCTTTCCCCCATTGCTTTGTGATCCCTGTTCCTACCTCCAGGCCCACTTGGAGTTGGGCATGTTGGAAAGGAGATGCTCCCATACTCTTCATTTTCAAAATAATTTACCTTATTCATAAACCCCAATTTCCTCCATTTCATTCTAGATTTTTTTCCCTTTTTGGTCAAATTTCTTAAAAACACAAAGTTAGGCATGATGGCACATTCATATAATCCCATCTACTTGGGAGGCTGAAGTGGAAGGATGGCAAGTTAGGGAGACACTGTCTCAAAATAAAATAAAAAGGCTGGGAATGTAGCTCAGTAGTAGAGCGCTTGCCTAGAATGTGGGAGGCCCTGGGTTCAATACGCAGTACCATAACAAACCAATAAGAAAAACCCTGTTGTCATTTTTATCATAATCATAGTAAATTTGCTCTCTTCCCTCCTTATCCTGGGAACATCCCCCAGTGGATACTGGGAACTTCAGGTGGCACTGAACCCTCTATATACTATGTTTTTTCCTATATATACAATACAAAGCTTAACATAAGTTAGGCAAGTAAGACATTAACAATAGTAACAACATAGAGCAATTATAAAAATATAGTAAAAGTTGCTGGGTACCGTTGTACATGCCTATGTGTAATCCCAGTGGCTTGGGAGGCTGAGCCAGGAGGATTGCAAGTTCAAAGCCAGCCTCAGCAAAGTGAGACCCTCAAAGCAACTCAGTAAGACCCTGTCTCTAAATAAAATTCAAAATAGGCCTGGGGATATGGCTCAGTGGTCAAGTACCCCTGAGTTCAATCCCCAGTAACCYACCACCACCACCCAAAAAAAAAAAAAAAATCATGTGACTGTGGTCTCACTTTCTCTCAAAATATCTTATTGTACTTTCACCTTTTTACTTAAATGAAGCCTTTTTTTTTTTTTTTTAACATATCTTAAATTGCCAGCATGGCTATTCTTGAGCTTTGGAGCCATTGTTAATAAAAATAAGTGTTACCTCCTTGCCATGACAGTGGATCTGATAACCAAGACAGCTGCTAAGTGACCAAGAGCGAATCACAGGCAGCACGGGGACTTCGTATCCCAAGCAGGATGGAGTGGGATGGTGTGAGATTTCTTCATACTCCTCAGAACTGTTACGATTTTAAAACTTATGGATTGGGCTGGGGTTGTGGCTCAGCGGTAGAGTGCTCGCCTTGCACGTGCGGGACCTGGGTTTGATCCTTAGCTCCATATACAAAAATAAACAAGTGAAATAAAGGTGTTGTGTCCAACTACAACCAAAAAATAAATATTAAAAAAAAAACTTATGGATTGCTTATTTCTGAAATTTTCCTGTTTTTGGACTGTAGTTGACCAGGATAACTGAAACTACAGAAAGCAAAACCAAGGATAAGGTGGGCCACTGTCCTAAGAAAGCTTGGGCAAGTGAACTTTTTTTTAGTTTTCGGTGGACACAGCATCTTTATTTTATATTTATGTGGTGCTGAGGATCGAACTCAGCGCCSCGCACATGCCAGGCCACATTCCCAGCCTGCAAGTGAACTTTTTATTGTTGGTCATTCCTCTGTGAACTTGATAGGTTTTTTTCCTTTACTTCAAGTTTTGTATCGAGTGCTTTGACAGAACTTAAACATTTTCTCCTCTGCAGTCTTGCTTGATTAGTTCCTGAATAACTTCTAGAGTGGTTGGGTTTTCTTGGTTTTGTTTTTGTTTTTTGGTACCAGCAATTGAACCTAGCAGCATTCTACCTTTGAGCCACCTCCCCAGCCCTTTTTTTGTTTGTTTGTTTGGTTGTAATTGGACACAACACCTTTATTTTATTTTATGTGGTGTTTTATCGAACCCAGTGCCTCACACATGCTAGGCGAGCTCTCTACCACTGAGACACAACCCCACCCCTCCCCAGCCATTTTTTATTTTTTTATTTGAGTTAGGGTCTAAGTTGCTGAGACCTTGCTAATTTGCTGAAGCTGGCCTCAAACTTGAAATCCTCCTGCGTCAGCCTCTCAAGTCACTGGGATTATAGGCATATGCCATCATGCCTCACTGTGTCGGTAGTTCTTATATTGTCTTTGCTATGGCGTTTCTTGGCAGTATCTGTTCTACTTTGTGGGCTTTTTTTTTTTTTTTTTAAGTTCTCAACAGACATTTACTTATTTATAAGTGGTGCTGAGAATCTAATCCATGCTTTACACCTGCCAGGCAAGCTCTCTACTACTGAGCCACCACCCCAGCCCCATAGTTTGTGGGCTCTTACATGGGTGATCATGCAGTGAGCAAATGGTGACCATCTCGCCCCTGGGTGATATGTGCATACCTCCCCCCACCCCCTGTCATCTTTTTCCTCCTCGTGAATTGAACTGACCAGGGCAGCAGGACTCTGGGCTCTGGGACTAAAGCATAGAGAGCATCCTATWTTCTTCTCAATCTTAAGGGAAGGTGTTTGAAGTTTCTCCATTRATTACTGGTATTTTGCTAATGGACTTGGGAAGCTTTATTTCATTTCTTCAGTGTTTTTAATCTTTAGAAGCTGTGATTCTTGTGTTTCCTGGGATAATCTTTCTGTCTCATAACCCGGTGCCATGATTATCATCACTGCTGCCCTACCTGGTGTGGTGAGGCTGGCGTGTGGTGAGGCTGGCATGTGGTGCAGGAGTGGTTTTTAGGAACATCTTCAGGGCCATCTCAGGTGTTGATGTTGGTTGCTATACTTGACCTTGWGGGCCCTCCAGCTCAGTTAAAGACATGTTGGGATCAGATAAACCTTTTTGTTAGGGGACAGGTGGGGACAATGGGGGTAAAGGTCCCAGAATCTTTTTAGCCCCAATTGTGTTGTTGTTTTACAGAGCTAAAGCCAGGTGCCTCCCGATCCCAGGGGAATGGGAGCTGGAGGAATCCCTGTACACATCTTTCTACCTTCATGCCCACCTGTGTCTTCTCTCCCCAGAACGTGCTGGCCAAAGCCCTTTATGACAATGTGGCTGAGTCCCCGGATGAGCTCTCCTTCCGCAAGGGTGACATCATGACAGTGCTGGAGCGGGACACACAGGGCCTGGATGGCTGGTGGCTCTGCTCGCTGCATGGGCGTCAGGGCATTGTGCCTGGGAACCGCCTCAAGATCCTGGTGGGCATGTACGACAAGAAGCCAGCAGGGCCTGGCCCTGGCCCACCTGCCACCCCAGCCCAGCCCCAGCCTGGCCTCTCACAGGGCCTCCATGCTACAGCACCCCCAGCTTCCCAGTACACACCCATGCTCCCCGCTGCATACCAGCCCCAGTCTGACAGCGTCTACCTGGTACCCACACCCAGCAAGGCTCAGCAAGGCCTATACCAATCCCCTGGGCCCAGTCCACAGTTCCAGTCACCCCCAGCTAAGCAGGCATCCACATCCTCTAAGCAGACACCCCATCACCCGTTTTCCAGCCCAGCTACAGACCTTTACCAGGTGCCCCCAGGACCTGGAAGTCCTGCCCAAGACATTTACCAGGTGCCACCTTCTGCTGGCATAGGGCATGACATCTACCAGGTCCCGCCATCCATGGACACTCGCAGCTGGGATGGGACGAAGCCACCTGCAAAGGTAAGGCCATCCTGACACAGTGTGCAGCACAGTGAGGTTTTAGTGCAGTTTTTAGGCCCTGCTTTTGGAGTGCAGGAGGGCCCAGCCACCTCTGTTCCTGCACTACAGCATGGCTGTGCATTTGGTCTGAGGTCAAGATGGGAGGTTTTGAGGGAATGTGTTAATTCATCTGGTGGAGACGGGCCTGAACARGGAGGAGATAAGCTGGCCTTGGGGATGAGGAGATCCTCAACAGGCTCTCATAGGGTGTAGCCTGCCTGCAGTGGGCAGGTGGGGCTTGGCAGGTGAAGCTAGGGCAGCAGGGACCTCCCCTAGTCCATGTCAGAGCCCAGTGGGCCTGGACTAGGTCAGGGAGTTCAGGAAGAGGGCATGGGGTTTGGGGTGGCACTTGAAGAGGAGAATGGAGGGCATCATGTGGGTTTGGAGAGCGTGCCTTGAACWGCAGGAACAGTTATGTTCTTCCTCCATAAACCATACCTGAGGCAAGCAGGCAGGAACTGACGTGGTACTGCTGAACTCCAGTCCTCACATCCACTTTCTGGCCAGCAGGAAAAGAAGGAAAGGACAAAGGAGGCTGCACCCTCTCTGATGATGCCTCCCAGACATTACCTAGGCACTTCTGAGCTTGCCGGCCAGAACTTAAACCTGTGCTCCCCTGGTTGCACGGGAGGAGGCCGTGTGCTGCATGTCTCACTGATGGGGCTCTCCCGAGGAAGAAGGGCTGAGGGCTCYTGGAGGACCCTCAGCTGTCTCTGGTCTCAGAGGCCTTTTAGACCCTGATGAGGGAGAGGGACATCACTGTGCTCAGGGGCTCCTGTGAGTCTTCAGGATTTGTGTGTCAGCTCCTAAGTGGGGGCTAGGTACATCTGGCTGTCCCTGGCTCCACAGTGGGACAAGACCTGTTGGCTGCTGGCTATGAGCCTAGCACCCTTGTATTTCCCTGACTGCATGTCCCCATGTCCCCCCAAGTCCGTCTACCTGTGGAAGGAGATAGGACTAGAGTGAAGACCAAGACCCCCTGGCTGCCTCTAGCTGAGTCAGGAGCGACTTTTTCTCACCTTCACTGAACCTGTATCTTCCTATGCCAGAGCCCCTTTAAGAGTGAGAGAATAGAGTTTTCTGGGCCCCCAAAAATAGAGAAGATATCTTCAGGCTTGGAGGGTAGAGTTCCCATGGCCAGCTCTCCTGGTTTCCTCCATGTCTGCCCCTCCATTACATTCAACCAAGAAGACCCCAAGATCCAGACCACACTAGCAGGGAGCACCTGAACAGCCAGGCGGGCACAGCCACCTGGTGATAGGCATAGTGGCCCTTAGAAGCAGCCCAGGCAGAGCAGAGCCAGCTTCCTTGATCCCAGCCCTGCCTCATGTTATTACCATGTCTAGTCCAGAGCCACCTGTATCTGGAGAGACATTGGGCCAAGTGGACACTCAGTCGTGGCAGTGAGCCTTTGTCTGCAGAAATGCCCAGGGCTGGGGGGGGGGTGGCCTTGCTGGTARTAGCTGGGACATGAGTCAGCAGGTAGTGTCATCCCAGCCCTACCCACAGAGTGGCCTGGCACCCAGGAAACCTGGACAGGGGTTATGGATAGGCGGAGGATGGGATTCTGGGATTCTGGCCCTCAAGCCTAACTACCAGGGCTATGGGTCACAGGCTCCTTCTTCTTGACCTACCTGCTCCTTCAGCCATCTGGCCAGAGACAAGTAGATAACAGAAGCCTGCCATGCTAGGCTGGTACAGCCCAAAGTGGGACAATTTCCAGRCTCACCATGGGGAGGAGCAGGGGCCTCTAGGGCCAGCAGTCCTATGGGGAAGGGGCAGGGAGCAGTGCCTGGCCAGTGAGCATCACAATACATCGTGGTCCATCTCGTGCACATGGGTACAAACCCCATATCATGTACGAATGCACCCATGGTCCATACTCCACCCCACAGCAGGCTTCTCTCCTTCCYTCCTTTTTGTAGTAAAACTTGTGCTGGTGCAACTAAGGCTGCAACAGGCAGCAGAAGCCCCATGCACTAGGAAGCAGCAGCTCTCACACTGCTTCAGGGCTTCACCTGGCTAAGCCTTTCTCTGCCCAGACCTGTGTCCCAAGGATACTGACCTGGCTGGTGGCCCAGGAAGGGGAATCCTGTGCCTTGGACCCAGTTGCCCTCTCCAGGAGGCCTCATCACTGCTGGCCTGGGCAGCCTTCATTGCATCTGCTTTTGTTTTATGATCATGAAAGGGATGCTTGTTTACTGTAGGAAATGCATAATTTATGAGAAAGTCTAGAGATAAAGTTCCCCAATCAAGAGGTAATTACTGGGAAATTTTGGCATATTTTGTCTAGCATATTCTCTCTTTGTCTTTCACAGATTTGTACATTTTCTTCTGCATTTTGAAGTTGTAGATCCAACACTAGATATCAAAAGCATTTTATTAGTTTTTAAATTTTTTCTCCCTAAGCCTGATTGGAATGGCTGCTCCCAGTTTTGCTGTGTTGTTGGCTTCCTAGACATCTTGATATGTCCATCCATGCCCACATTTCAAAGTCCTGCCTCCATAAGCCTTAGAGCCTCCTCCTTGGATATCTGGGAAATAGACTCCTAGTTCTAGGGTCATGGTCAGCTAGGCTGAGGAGGAAGGGCCCTGGCATCCAGAAAGCCAAGGGGGCAAGCAATAAGGCTGAGGCCAGAAGGGATTAGACCCTGGAGCAATATCCATCTGGTGCGTGCCTGGGAATGGGAGCTCAGGGCCACTCAGGACCACCCCGGGGCACCAGGAAGCTGAGGGTAGGTGTTCTGCACATGTATGTAAGACCCCAAGGGGAAAGCCACTCTGCAGGCGCTCCTTTGGGCCAGCTGTGCCAGGCATGGGGGCTATTGTACTTACCTGGATTTTGCCCTGTTCACCTGAGAAGCTTGGTCTCCTCCCAGGCATGCTGGGTCCTTGGGCCAGAGGAGCCTAGAGCTGGGGTAGGGAGGGGACTGTATTGCAGTGCTGTAAGACCTGGCCTTCAGGTGTGTCCTGGTCCCCAGGAAGAGTGAGTGATCACCTGCCTGACTCTGAGGCACTCCTGTGTTGCTCCATTCCCAGAGAAGCAAATTGAGATCCTAGACACGGGACAGCACAGATGCATCAGAGGCCCAGGTCCATGGGGCATTGTCCATTTTGTAGAAAGGGGAGACCAGCAGCTGAGTTGCCCAGAGGTGGTCAGTATACGGGACAGAATGCACAATGAGGAAAGAGGGAAGGGATCTCTTTGCCCCTGTTCCTGCCACCTGCCACTTGATGTCCTGCCCTGGTTGGTAGAGTTGGGGCTGCTCTGGAAGTTCATTCCCTGACTAGCTGGCCTATTTCTGAGTTTGTTCACTTATCCCCTAGACAGCTGATTATGAGGGAGGGGAAGGTTGGGAGGATAGCAGCCTCCTGCCCTGCCTGCCTTCGTATGYATGCGTGTGTCCTGTGCGGTATGCTGTTTGTTCCACAGAGTGGGAGGAAGTGTGTGTGTGTCAGGGAGTGTGTGGATCTTGAGGTGGTGCCTGTCTCCATCTCCTCCTCCCAGGCACTGGCTGCGTCCCTTGTCCCCAGAGACCTCCACATCCTGCTAATGGGGCCTCAGGTGCAGAGCTGGGTGGCCTGTGATTAGCCAGGACTCAGCAGCTCTCTGGGGATTTCATTTCCCTAACAAGCTTTTCCCTGCTGGCTGCTGGCTTCCTCTATTTTTCTAACAGGAAAAAAAAAAATTGATGGCTTGTATTGCTGCCGCAGTCACTCAACTTGGCAGCAGAAGTGGCAGGCTGCCCTTAGCCCTGGGTTGGGGGTCTGGCCATCAGAGCCCTCTGGTCTGTTCTCCCAGCCCTCATCTGCCTAAGGACAGATGGGCACTCATGGGGCCTGCCCGGGTGGGGAGGTGCTCACCCCTCTTCCAGCACAGGGCAGGTTCACCTGCAGCCCAGAGGGCTTGCTTTTCCCTGGAAGGCTGTGGGGCATGGAGAATCCTTGCCTSGAGGACTGGCCAACCTGCCACGTCCCTCCAGCCCCGCCTACTCTGCCTGCCCCACTGTTGGCAGGTCCTAGCTACTAAAAATAGCTCTGGAGGAGACTCCAGTCTGGGGCTGGAGGAGAGAGATGAGTCTAGAGAGGCAGCCACAACTCCACCCCTAGACACTGGGACTGGGGGGGACACCCCATGGTGGACCCAGCAACTGCGCACACCAGCCTTCTCAGCTTTTCTGCCAGACTCGGCCCAGAACCCAGCTGGCTGAGTGTACCCGCCCAGCTCCACTGTGCCGCCCAGGAGGCTCTGCCAGGCTCTGGGCTCTGGTGCTTTGCTTGGTTGGGAGAGGTGGGGCGGGGGGGGGGTGCTGGCACATGCCTGCTGGGGGGCCTGGGCAGGGTTCTAGGGGCATTGAGCCTGAGGGGGAGGGCCTGAGTCAACCCTGTCCCAGACATCCCCTTTGATTAGGGAACAAAAGGTCCTTCTGTGGAGAGAGCTAAACAGGGAGCCCCGCGGGGGAGACTGCCTTAGCCTGGCTCGAGAATCACGCAGGGAAGGAGGCTGCCAGGCACACCCCTGCCCCTTCCAGGATGAGTGCTGTTGTGAGGGCAGYATGGCTCTGGACAGTGCTGTGAGTGTTCCAGGTCAGACCCTCAGGCTCCTGCCCACCCACTACCCAGTGCAGGGCTCTGCTGCTGGGGCTGACTGACACAGACCTGGAGTCAGGGCCAGAGACCCTGGGGAAGCAGGATTTGGACTGCTCCAGCCAGCAGCTTCTACTGAGGCCTTACCCTTTCATTTCAGATGGGCAAGCTCTGTCAGTGTGGGGGCAAAGGGTTGGGGTCTTGGTTCTAGCTGTGATCCCCCTGCCAAATACCTGACCTCCCAAATCATCCCTGTCTATCTGCCCAAGAACTGGCCCTGAGGTTGCTCTCAGGAGTCTCCCCAAGATGTATAGTGGGGGACAGGGGAAGAGTGCTTGCTGCTCTGCCATGCCTCCAGCTTCTGGGAGACCTAGGCCCTGACTGTTGGGCATCTCCTTCAGGTGGCTCCACTAGGCCTAGCCTAGTTTCCTGCACCTGCAGCTGTCTGCTGAGTCAGTGTTGTCAGCCAGTTCCCTTGCTGAGCAGGCTGGGAGCTGTTGAAGGTCTCAGAAGGCYTTGCATAAGGTCTCTTGTACTCTAGGGCTGGGACCCCAATCAAGGGTGGCCCCTTGCCCCACTGGCAATGCACTCTGAAGCGAGGGTCTGAGCCTTTCACCCTGCCTGTGGCTTCCCACCCACCTTACATATACCCTCCTCTGAAACCATGTGGTCGTCTAGCTGCATGACAACTAGACAGGTCTAAACAAAACCTAGGGGCCTAAGTTGTACCCTAAGCTCTGCATTCCACTACAGAAATGTCAGAGGATGAGAACCAGTGCCTCTAAACCTGCCTCACGGGTCTTCCCGAGGACCTGTGGGTGGATTGTAGAAGCTGGCTTCSAGGGCCGTGGTGAAGTCAGCTCTTTGTCCTTAGGTGGTGGTGCCCACCCGAGTGGGGCAGGGCTACGTATATGAGGCCTCCCAGCTGGAACAGGATGAGTATGACATCCCACGCCACCTGCTGGCCCCAGGACCCCAGGACATCTACGATGTACCCCCTGTTCGGGGGATACTTCCCAGCCAGTATGGCCAAGAGGTAGGTGTTGGGGATCGAGGGGTGGGAGAGGTCAGAGATGGCAAGCCTATGCCTCTGCTTGGCACCTCCCTTGGGGAACTGGATTTTCTTAGCCCTAGCTAGGCATCCACAGTCTGTCCTGGGGTGGGTGCCACAGGGTTCCAATCTTCCCATTAAACCCAGGTGACCCTGACACTTGTATTACTGTACCTTTTTTCCTGCCAACAGGTATATGACACACCCCCCATGGCTGTCAAGGGTCCTAATGGCCGAGACCCATTGCTGGATGTATATGATGTGCCCCCCAGTGTGGAGAAGGGCCTGCCACCATCTAATCACCACGCGGTGAGCACTCTGTGAATGCTAGGACCTCGGAGGTGTCGAGGGGGCTGTGCGGGTGTGCTTGAGCCCATGCACTACCTGGGTGGGGACTATGTCTGCAGACCACAGTGTAGCCCCTCTCTTGATCTGGAACAGATTTGGGCTTGCTTATGAGCTTTGTCATCCAGAAGATGGCCCATTGTTGGACCTTCTCGAAAGGTTCTTGAGAGAATATCAGCAAGATAACCACTGAATTTGTCATCTGAACTAGGACAGGTATGGGGAAGGGGAGGTACTGATGATTTGAACTCAGGGGCGCTTGATCACTGACCCACAAACCCTGCCCTATTTTGCATTTTATTTAGAGACTGGGTCTCACTGAGTTGCTCAGCACCTTACTAGCTTTGAACTTGCCATCTTCCTGCCTCAGCCTACCAAGCCATTGTGGTTGCAGGCATGTGCTACCATGCTTGGCTGAACCAGGACATTTTTTTTTTTTTATATGTTGATGGGCCTATATTTTATTCTTTTTTTTTTTTTTTTTTTTTAAATATGCAGTGATGGGGCTGGGGATGTGGCTCAAGCGGTAGCGCGCTTGCCTTGTATGCGTGCGGCCTGGGTTCGATCCTCAGCACCACATACAAACAAAGATGTTGTGTCTGCCGAAAACTAAAAAATAAATATAAAAAAAATAAATAAATAAAAAATAAATATGCAGTGCTGAGAATCAAACCCAGTGCAAGTTCTCTACCACTGAGCTACAACCCCATCCATGAACCAGGACACTTTGAGAGCAAAAAWGGGACTGATAATTATATAGGACTGTCCTGGGCCAACCCCAAGTACAATCCATACAAAGCTCAGCCAAGTACCTGCTACAGAGTAGAAAGTTCCCAGGTGGAGGTGATGGTGACGGAGGTAGCAGTGCTGATGGTGGCAGTGGTAGTGTTGGTGATGGTGGAAGAGGCGGTGGCGGAGGTAATGGTGTGATRGCAGTGGGGGTGGCAGTATGATACTAACCTCACAGGGTTACATAAACTAGTAAACATCCTCACAGCAAACCCAAGAGGGGCTTCTCTCATGGGTGAGCAGATGGGCATAGAGAAGCGGAGTCATCTGACTTCAGAGTGGTTGACTCCTTAGCCATGGCCCTTAGGGCTGACRTGTGAACCTAGGCTGGGTCTGTGTGTGGCTGGTTCCAGCCCTGGTTCTTGGGACAGGAAGATGGGAAGACAGCCTTGACCATCTCTTGGTCCCCCAGGTGTATGATGTTCCTCCATCGGTGAGCAAGGATGTGCCCGATGGCCCACTGATGCGCGAGGAGACCTACGATGTACCCCCTGCCTTTGCCAAGGCCAAGCCCTTTGACCCAGCTCGCCACCCGTTAATCCTTGCTGCACCTCCCCCGGACTCCCCRCCAGCTGAGGATGTGTATGACGTACCACCCCCTGCACCTGACCTCTATGACGTGCCCCCTGGCCTGAGGAGGCCTGGTCCCGGCACCCTGTATGATGTGCCTCGTGAACGGGTGCTTCCTCCTGAGGCAGCTGATGGTGCTGTGGTTGATGATGGTGTGTATTCTGTGCCCCCACCAGCTGAGCGAGAGGCTCCTGCCGAGGGCAAGCGCCTGTCGGCCTCCAGCACAGGCAGCACRCGCAGCAGCCAGTCGGCATCTTCCTTGGAGGTGGCAGTGCCAGGCCGGGAGCCCCTGGAGCTAGAGGTCGCTGTGGAGTCCTTGGCACGGCTGCAGCAGGGTGTTAGTGCCACTGTGTCCCACCTTCTGGACCTGGTRGGCAGTGCTGGTGGGGCTGGAGGCTGGCGTAGCACCCCTGAGCCTCAGGAGCCACCAGTGCAGGACCTACGGGCTGCAGTGGCTGCTGTCCAAGCGGCTGTCCATGAGCTACTGGAGTTCGCCCGCAGCGCCGTGAGCAATGCTGCCCACACTTCTGACCGCACCTTACATGCCAAGCTTACTCGGCAGCTACAGAAGATGGAGGATGTGTACCAGACATTGGTGGCACATGGTCCAGTCCTTGACAGTGGCCGGGGAGGTCCAGCATTTACCCTTGAAGATATGGACCGTCTGGTGGCCTGCTCCCGGGCCGTACCTGAGGATGCCAAGCAGCTGGCCTCCTTCTTGCATGGCAATGCCTCACTGCTCTTCAGACGGACCAAGGCCACTGCCCCAGGGCCTGAGGGGGGCGGAACCCTGCATCCCAATCCCACTGACAAGGCCAGCAGCATCCARTCACGGCCCCTGCCCTCACCCCCAAAGTTTACCTCCCAGGACTCTCCAGATGGGCAGTACGAGAACAGCGAGGGGGGCTGGATGGAGGATTATGACTACGTCCACTTGCAGGTGGGTGTTCTCCCTACCCAGGTTCCTGGGCTTTAGCTCTGCCACCTTTTTTGCCCCCAACACACACAGGGTTCTTGTGGTCAGTCTTTTTTGGGGGWGGGGGGTACCAGGGATGGAACCCAAGGGCACTTAACAACTGAGCCACATCCCCAGCCCTATTTTTGTATTTTTTTTTAGAGACAGGGTCTCACTGAGTTGCTTAGGGCCTTGCTTAGGGCTGGCTTTGAACTCGCAATCCTCCTCTCTTAGCCTCCCGAGCCTTGGGATTACAGGCATGTGCCATCGCACCCAGCTTTTGGTGAGATTTTGACTCCAGGCTTGGTCACTGATGAGTGCCAGTACCTAGTGTGGTCATACTTGGGTCCTGTAGCACTGGGGCTACAGGACTGAGTCTCAAACAATTTGGAGCTGGACTTTTGGTGATCCCAGYCGAGGTGGCTACAAACATGGAGGTTTGGGGAAATAGGAAGGATAGGAAGGTCGGGTAGGGCCAGGTCTCTGAGGTTGGGTCCCCAAGCAGGTACCTTTGCGCCAGCTGAGAAGTCCTGGTGATGAGCATTCCAGACTGAGGGCCTGTAGGTGCCAAGGCCCACAGTGGCACCAGTGGGTGGGGACCAGATGGCCAGGCTTTGTAGATCAGGGGAGAGGATGGATTTGATTGCTGCTGTGGGAACTAGATCGGGGAGGCTGGCCATAGCCACATTGGTGAGTCACATGGGAGTGCAGGGGCTTCACCTGTGCCCAGCCCCTTCCTGCAAGGGATTCTTGCATGGGCTGCCTTCCTAGCCTTCGTGCACATGYAGTGCCACCTAGTGGTGCCTGGGCCCTCACTGTGCCCCTGGTGGCTCCTGGTGCTTCTAGTCCGAAGACACTCCTCAGCCCAGGCTTGTCTCCCCCTCCAGGGGAAGGAAGAGTTTGAGAAGACGCAGAAGGAGCTGCTGGAAAAGGGCAACATCATGCGGCAGGGGAAGGGCCAGCTGGAGCTGCAGCAGGTGAGCCCYGTCCAGCCAGGGAGATCCCAGACCCCCTGCTTGGCCTGACACATTTAGTCCCCAGCTTCTCCCAGCAAGGTCATTTCCTCTCCAGACCCACCTGCCACTACTTTCCCCCCACAGCAAGTAACTGTCCGGTCTCATGACCATCTGTGTCTAAATTTTGACTTGGTTTGTTAATATTCAGTTCTGTCCTACCTTATCCAARGTGGGGTCCCACTGTGTTGCCCATGAACTCCTGGGCTCAGCCTCCTGATTAACTGGGACTTCAGGTGCACATCTGGCCTAAACCAATCGATTCATCCATCTGTCTATCTGTCTATCTATTTATCTATCTATCTATCTATTTATTTATTTTTGTGGTGGCAGTACCAGGGATTGAACTCAGGGGCACTCGAACACTGAGCCACATCCCCATCTCTATTWTGTATTTTATTTAGAGACAGGGTCTCAGTAAGTTGCTTAGCAGCTCACTTTTGCTGAGATTGGCTTTGAACTCGTGATCCTCCTGCCTCAGACTCCCAAGCTGCTGGGATTACAGGTGTGTCCCACCTCATCCCGTGATTAATCTGATTTATTTTAAAGTGATTATTCTAGAGCTGAGGGTATAGCCTTGTCATGGAGAGTCTTGTTACCATGCCAAAGGCCTTGGGTTCTACCCTGGTACCAGTCAATGAAGTTAAGTTAGTGTTAATTGTCAGAGACACTGTAGGGAGCCCAGAACTGTGTGATAGAGCAGAACACAAACCCTGGCAGGGAGAGGTGGTCATGGGAGTTGGGTCCAGCTGGTTTCTGTCCCAGGTCCTTCCTGTACCTGCTACAGAGGAGACTTTGTGAGCAGTTAAACTCTGGGCCTCTCAGCAACCCACTTCCCCACCACAATAAAAACACTCTTCTTAAATTCTTTTTGAAGGCCCTATAACATCTATTGTTAGCTTTTTATTTTTAAAATATTTTTTATTGTAGATGAACACAATATCYTTTTTTTTTTTAATTTTTAATATTTATTTTTTAGTTATCGGCGGACACAACATCTTTGTTGGTTTGTGGTGCTGAGGATCGAACCCGGGCCGCACGCATGCCAGGCRAGCGCGCTACCGCTTGAGCCACATCCCCAGCCCCGAACACAATATCTTTATTTTATTTTATTTATTTATTTTTATGTGGTGCTGAGGATTGAACCCAATACCTCACGCATGTGAGGCAAGTGCTCTATTGCTGAGCCATAATCCTAGCCTTTTTACGTTGTACCAAAATGTCCTTATTTAAATAACACTGCTTCATTTATCTGCAGAGTTTTTTTCATAGTTTCAGTCATCTCCTAGGTTAGGAAAGGGGGGCTAAGGGGGGCTGGAGTTGTGGCGCTCAGTGGTAGAGCACTTGCCTTGTAAGTGTGAGGCACTGGGTTCAATCCTAACACCACATAAAAGCAAATAAAGGCATCAAGTCCATAGTCCATATACAACTAAAAAAAAAAAAAATTCTAAGAGGATTTATTTCCAACTGTGAAGATAATTAAAAGAGTTAAAATATAGAATAGCACAAAATAAAGACAATGACATTACCCAYCAAGGTACGAAGCCAGGCAGAGGAGAGAGCCTGTGCCACCCTAAGCCCTGGCCACATGGCTTCCACTGTCAACTGGGGCATGTGGAATGTGAAATGATTGAGGAGTGCCTGGCACGAAGAAGATACTTAGGAAAAGGAGCATTAATAATTGAAACCAAATATAGATATCCATATTTGAGAAAATAATAATTTGTGACATTTAAAAAATATTTTATGAATATTTTTTTCAATGTGCTGAGGATCAAACCCAGTGCCTCACATGTGCCAGGCAAGTGCTCACCACTGAGCTACACACCAGTCCCTGGAATCTACATTGTTTTAAGAAATAGCCACCTACTTTATCCTCCTTCTGTACTCTTGCATCATGGGATCCCCCCACCAGTACTGGGAATTGAAACTAAGGGTGCTTTTCTACTAATCACATCTCTAGCCCGTGTTCAAAATTGTGTTTTGAGGGGGCTGGGGTTATGGCTCARTGGTAGAGTGCTTGCCTAGCGTGTGCGAGGTCCTTGGTTCAATCCTCAGCACCACATAAAAGTAGATAAATAAAATAAAGGTATTGTGTCCAATTATAACTAAAAAATAAAATTTAACAAAAAATTGTGTTTTGAGGCAGGGTCTGAGTGGCCAAGGCTGTCCTCCAACCTGCTGCCTCAGCTTCTCGAGTGACTGGAATAGCAGATGAGCGCCCGCGCTCCTGCCTCCAGCATGTTCTGTTCTAATCCTGTTCTTGGACACTTTGGTTGTCCCTAGTTTTAGTTTTGTGAACAGTAGTGCACATGTCTGTCTGAGAGCCTCACCTTTGTCCTGCTCCCCCACCTCCCCAGCTGAAGCAGTTTGAGCGCCTGGAGCAGGAGGTATCACGCCCCATAGACCATGACCTGGCCAACTGGACGCCGGCCCAGCCCTTGGCACCAGGGCGCACAGGTGGCCTAGGGCCCTCAGACCGGCAGCTGCTGCTCTTCTACCTCGAGCAGTGTGAAGCCAACCTGACCACGCTGACCGACGCAGTGGAAGCCTTCTTCACCGCTGTGGCCACCAACCAGCCGCCCAAGATCTTCGTGGCGCATAGCAAGTTCGTCATCCTCAGCGCCCACAAGCTAGTGTTTATTGGGGACACGCTGTCACGGCAGGCCAAGGCCGCTGACGTACGCAGCCAGGTTACCCACTATAGCAACCTGCTGTGCGATCTTCTGCGTGGTATTGTGGCCACCACCAAGGCTGCTGCCCTACAGTACCCATCACCCTCTGCTGCCCAGGACATGGTGGACAGGGTCAAGGAGTTGGGCCACAGTACCCAACAGTTCCGCCGGGTCTTAGGCCAGCTGGCCACTGCCTGAGAGCAGATGACAAGGGTGTGGAGGCAGGGGAGGCAGCAGCAATGGCCCGAGCTACCCCAGGCAGCCATCCTRAGAGTGGATGCCCCACAGGCTTGGGGACAGGGAACCCCAGCTTTGCCTCSGGCCCAGTGCCCTCTACTGTCCAGGGATTTGTATATATTTATGACAGGGCAGGATGGTGGGATGGCACCTCAGAGGAGCCAGCTGGTGCTGTCCCTGAGACAGCTATAGGACCAGGAGGGTGGCCACAGAGGGCCAGGGTGGAGGGCTTCAGTCCCCAGGGCTTCCTGTGGCCCTTGGCCTAACCCTGTCCCTGAGACGGGTAAGTGCAGCAGTGGCATATTCCTTCTCTGTGGGAGAAAACCTGAAAGAACTATTTTTCATTATTGATTTTCCAATCATTTGACTAATAGTCTACATTTAATAAAATTTTGAAAATGAAAAGCAGCTGCCTAAGGAGTGTGAGGGTCGAGCCAGGGCYGGTGGCTGGGAGGCAGATGGGCCCTCAGATGCTGTGGAGTATGAATGGCAGATTTAAGGGGGAGTGATGTAAGAGAAGAGGACTGGGTGGCCTCTCAGGAGGGTGAAGGAAAWGTGGGTTCCCTTAGAAGAAAACCAGGGCCCTCACAAGTAGGGCYGGCCTGGACCTGGGAGATGAAGCCTCAGGTACTGGACGGGATGGGGAGAGGGCTGGGCACAGCCTGCCACTGGATACAGGGCCTGAGGCCCAGAAGTCTCYGTGTGAGCACAGCCCATCAAGGCGGCAGCTGTGTGGTCCCCTGGCATATGGTGGAGGCCATTCCAGAGAGTGCGTGTCCACACACCAGCAGCCAGCCCCTGCTGCCAGAAAGCAGCTCCAGGAGGAGGATGAGCCCTGCTGGGTCCCATAGAGCAAGGACACCGCTGGAGGACATTGGTTGTGCACACCAAGAAATTGATTTTCACAGAATTTATCTAAAATTGTTCTTTTGCGGGGAGGGGGAGAGTAGTTACCCGGGATTGAACTCGGGCGCACTTGACCACTGAGCCACATCCCATTCCTGCTTTGTATTTTATTTAGAGACAGGGTCCCACTGAGTTGCTTAGCACCTCGCTGTTGCTGGGGCTGGCTTTGAACTTGAAATCCTCCTGCCTCAACCTCCTGAGCTGCTGGGATTACAGGCATGCGCCACGGTGCCCAGCCAAAACTGTTCTTACAGGGAAACTCATTTCAGTTTGTGGGATTCCCGAAGTGTACTATTTGAATCACACGTGAACTRGTTCTCTAAGTTGGGAGGGTAGAGGCCCAGAGCAGGCCCTTGCCCTCCCCAGGCTTCCACCAGCAGCCTGTGGCCCGTGGGGGCTCAAGGGTGTGCCAGGTGCTCCTGCTGTTGCCCCCAGCTCTGGCCATTCTGCATAAGAACTTGGCTCTGTCTGTACAGAAGTGGGTAAGGCCGGGTGATCTGCCAACCTACTTAGTTCTTAGTTCCACAGAGGGGCCACCTACACCCAGCAACCCCTAGCAAATTAGGTGGGGGCAACAAAGGTGCAGGAAGCTGCTCCTGGTAGGGTTTGAGGGAGAGCGGATTATGCATATGTTGGGGTAGGAGGAGGCTTGGCTACCTTCCAGAACCTCTCAGAACCAAGGCATGTCAGTGATGCAGGCACGTGCAGTTGCCCCAGGATACAATGTCCACCAAGGTCTAGGCTCCCTTCTTCTGGCAGACCAGAGGGCCCCCAGAGTCACTCTGTAGAAGAGACAGGACCTGTCTCCAAGCCTGAAGGGGGTGCCTGGCCCACTGGAATCCAGGGAGCGGGCAGGGAAACGACTTTTGTGGGCACAGTGATCATGACCAAACTGCGCACATGTGGACTGGGTGGCAGTCCAGCTCTGCTCCTGGAGGAGCCTGGCCATCGTCTGAAGCCAGCTGGCTCCTCCAGCTCACAGAGCCCAYGTGGGGACTGGATTCCCGTGGGCAGCACCGCACCAGGCCTGGCCAGGGGACCCTCCTTGGGYATCTTTTAGCATCAGTCTGGCCTTCTGGTGGGCACTGGGGAAGGTGRAGGTAAGCAGAGAAGGGCAGAGGGGAGGGGGCAGCTCAGGCCTCTGGGGAGAGAGGAGAGCTGTGGCCCTCCTGGCCTGACCAGATCTGGGCTGTCAGTGAGTGAACAGCACCAAGTGGCCCCAGCACAGATCATCACTTCAGTGATCTTGCTGCCCCAGGACTTCTTACATTTGGCAGTGGCCACAAGGGGCAGAGCCACTTGCTATAGCTTGTTGGGGGTCTTTGGCTGCAGAGAGAGGAGGCAACAGAGACAGGGCCCCATGACCCACCCAGGCCACGTGGAGGGGCATCCAGGAAGCGCCCTGAACCTTGATAAAATCAGCTGTGGGCACAGCACCTGTCAAATCCCACCCCAGGCAGAGCTTCAACAGAGTGCAGACCACCCATGCCCTGCCCACCTCTGGGCACCTCAGCCCTTCAGCTGCTGTGGACAGGCAGTGTGAGGGCCCCTTCTTTCTTCCCATGGAAGAGGTGGACTTCTCTGATGAAGACATCGAGACCAGGTAGCACCTCCCTCTTCCCCTTCCTGCCTGATTCTGTCAGTGATAGGCGAGAACCCTGGGCCCAGCAGGGTTGGGCTTGGACCTGGAAGGCAGAACCAGGTGCTCTAGAGGAAGAAAATCAGRCCATGGACTGTAGGAAGGACTGGTGAGGAAGGTGAGCCAGGGCCACCCTCCCAGAGTTCTGGACCAGAACTGTCCATTGGACTCCCAGTCATGATGCAGGGAAACTGTACTCTCCCTGCCTGGCCCTGGAGAGCCCTGGAGGCCTGCTTGTGCTTGGAGTTTGCTTCAGGCTCTGTCATTAACTCTCATTTTCATTTTGTGTTCGGTGGATCTTTAATTTAGAGGATTTGAAAGAAATGGAATGATTTATGACTGCTACAATTCAGAAGTGTGCTTGGAATTTTGACCAGAATCTAAATTGCATCTCCCTAAAAAGCCCCTGTAGGAACACAGGCTTGTGCTAGGTGTTCCTGCAGCCACTGTGACCCCTGACAGCCTGCAAGGAAGCTGGCCTTGGAGCTGGGCCGGCAGGCAGGAACCCAGGCTTGAGAGGAGGGCAGGAAACCTTGGCAGGGTATTGTTGAGGAGGACAGCACACAAGTCCCCTAGGGTGTGCTTAAACACTCTTGGGACCAGGGTGGGGCCTGGGTGGACCTCTGAGTGGAGGACAAGGGAGAATTCTGAGGATACTGGGCTGGGAGACAAAGTGGGCTCAGAGCAGGTGGAATAGGAACAACAATGAGGCAGAGGAAGCTGTGGAGACCCAGGGAGAAATGACACGTGACATTCAGGGTTGTTCAATTTTTTATTTTCATGTTTTTCAACAATGCACAAGGGCTAGGGGTGTATATCAACAGTAGAGCACTTGCCTAGCATCCCCAAGGTCCTGGGTTCAAGCCCCAGCACCACAAGAAACCAATGAGAAAAACGTATTCATTGGTTACAGTGCTAGGGACGAGCCCAGGCCTCACTCATGCCAGGCAATGCTCCAGCCCTGAGCCACATCCCAGCCTCACAAACGTTTCAGAAGCAGAAGGAATGCGTGGGAAAGAGAAGGCATCTGGGGAGAGTTGCTGGTGGGCCCTGAAGGGCCAAGGGCACTGGCCAGGGGCTTTGCCCATTCCTCAGGAGGTCTCACTCCCAGAGCCTGCTGTCACACCAGTCCATCTCCTGACTACCTCAGCCACCTCAGCACCTGAAGGGGCTCCTATTCAGAGGCAAGCCAGATGCCCTGGCTACCATGCAGTGTCCCTTCCTGGGGTGAGGAGAGGTGGCAGCCCATACAAGGGCTCATGGCTGACACTTCAGAGGGCAAGGAAGTGTTCCCAGTAGGCTGCACCCTAGCTGAGCCACTGAATCTCACAGGGCCTCAGTGCATCCCACCCTTGTTTTGGGTCTTGTTTTCCCTGTTTGCACAAAGAAGGCACAGGACTGACTGTCCAGGGTTCCCCATGCTGCAATCCAGGTGGCCTGGGGGCAGGTCTTAGGAGGTGGAGTGGCAGCCTCTGCAGGTTGCAGCTGAGTTATAGGAGGTTTTGCTCAGACCCTTTTGCTTCTGAGTGCAGTGCTCTGTTGAGGTTGAGAGGGATGAGGGTCCTCTGGCACTGGGGACCCCAGTTTTCTGAGCTTAAGACTTACCTGACCACACAGTGGGCAACAGTGACCACCCAGTTCTCGCTGATGAGGGAACCCTGCAGAGGTGGAAGCCAGTGCTGTCCTGGGGAGGAAGAAGGTAAAGGTCACTACTCCCACCTGGGCTGCACCCCTAGCGTGGCCAGCACCCCAGAGTGACCCCCCACATGCCCAGAATGCCCTCTCACCTAAGGGACACCTGCCAAGGCCAGGGGCTGGGGACAGCATTCTTCCCATTGATGATCCTGGACGGGCTCCTCAGCATGGGGAGGAGGGGAGACTCTGAAGCCTTGAGGACGGGGACAGGGCAAGGAATGGTGTGCCCAGCAGGCCAGGGTAAAGACCTGACACTTCCAGGCCTCCTTGGCACACTTGGCAGGGCACTCCGCCCCTAGCCTGGCAGCCATCTTCAGGTGCCCTTGCAGAGGGGGCATTAAGTTGGGGATCAGAGTTAGGAAGCTGGGTTCAGAGACCCCCACAGTGGGCAGCTGCTCTGACCTGCTCTGTTCCCCTTTGAGCTCAGAGTTCTGGGACACAGGCCTCGGTTACCCTCCCCTGAGAGTCTGCAGCAGGAATGTCCCCCCTGTAGAGCTGGGGCCAGTGAGGCTGAGGGGTGGGACTCACCCTGGCTCCCAACACTGCACGGCTCAACCGGGGGCAGGATTGGGGGTGAAGGGGACCCAGCCTTAATGTCAGCACGGGCACCAACCAAAGGCAGTAGGTGGGGGTCAGGGCAGGCTGTGGTGCTGAAGTTAAAGAGGCGAGCGCACCTGCCTAGGGCTGCCCCTTATATCCCTGAGCGCCAGGCTGTTATCTGAGACCTTGGAGTGATAATCCCTTCCCTGGGTGTGTGCCCTGGTGGGAAGATGTGATAGAACAGGGCTGGCAGGGTCCCTGGGATGGCAGCAGCTGCAGTCCACAGTGGAGCGTGGGGCCAAGGGCCAAGCCGGGGCTGAACAAGGGGACATTTGACCTGCATTCTTCCTCCTCCAGCCCTGCTCTGAGGTTGCGTTCAGAAGCCCACCATATGAGCCCCAACTTCATCTCTTGTGTTCTGGAGGACCTTGCACAAATACCTGAGTCCATTTGTTGTTCAAATACCCCTGGGTAGTATGGTCAAGAGGGGAGAGGTTTGGGGACCAGGCTTTTGCCCCCTGCTGTGGAACAGAGGAGTGACTGGCCAGGGGTTGAGGACGCACCACCTGGTCTTGGGAATGGCCAGGAAGGCTCAGTGAGGGCTCTGCTGGAGGTCTGGGGTAGCCACTTGGGCTGAGAGGCTCAGAGGGACAAGCTGCCATTCACTCCGTGCAAGGTCCCCTCCTTCAAGAGTCAGTGTGCACAGGATCCTGGAGGTGGGCATGTGGCTACTTAGGGCAAGACTGAGACTATGGAGCAGCCAGGGTGCTGGGCCATCAGCTGCCCCACGAGAGCTGGCGGAGGCCGGGCTCAAGGCACAGGGCTGGGCATGGAGGCAGCAGGTAGACCTGGCTACTTGTTTGATTCTCAGGGTGGGAACTGGGAAGGAGGGAGAAATTTGGGGTTTACGCTGCAGGTGTAGAGAAAGCCCCCAAAGGGCACAAGAAATGACATTGCATGGATGACCATGATGTATTTGTTCACAGTACAGGTTTTGGTGTCAGAAGCTGTGGAGCCTCAGGCAATTTACTTACCCTCTCTGCTTCCTTTCTATGTGTGACAGAAGAACATGATCCATGTCGAAAGCACCAGGACCAGGCCTAACAGTCCTTGGTTTTTCTTGAGCCAACTGCCTGCTCATGCCCTTTGCTCATGTTAGAAGATGGGAGAGGCATGGCCACGTGTATCCGGTGGGAAAGCAGGAGGGGAACAGGATTTAGTGTCCCCTGGCCTGTAAGAAACCCTACTGTGTGCACATTGCAGTTCACCCTGTCAGCCAGGCTGGCCAGCCTCTCCTGGAATAGAGAAGGAAAAGAAACCCAAATCCCTGCCTTTGGCAGACACATGGGGTGGGTGGGATCTTCAAGGAAAAGTCAATTAAAAATAAATAAGTCAAATATGCGTGGCCACCAGCTCAAAAGTTATTTTATCTTTATCTTCATTGATACAAAAAGGCCAAGGCCTTTAGGACACTCTGAAAGGACACCAATTTAACAACCTCGGAGTTTCCTGAGTGACAAAGGATCCTGCAGGAGGTGCTGACATTCAGAGGGAACAGCAGAGGCAGCCCCTGGTGGCGGAAGGGCTGAGCCCAGGGGACAGCAGCGGGGGGTTCAGCGGTTAAGGGAGCAAGGGCCTGGCGGGGCCAGCTGACCGGCTGCCCAGAGGGCCCAGCAGGTGGGGAGGAACCCTCCCGGGACCCATCCCGGACCCGCCCCTGCAGCCCCGCCCGCTGCGACACGTGGCAGTGGGAGCCTGCACCTCCGGCKCGGGCCGTGGGAACCCGCGCAGCTGCGGGGGTCGGGTCGGGGCGCAGGTGCGGGACTCCGGCTTGAGGGACCCCGCAACCCGCCCCGCCCTGCGCTCGCGACGCCGACCCCATCCGAGACCCAGAAACCCCGAAAGCGACGAGTTAGGGGCGGGTCTGAGGCTGCGCGGGGGTCCGAGGTCCGCGCCACTCCGGGACCACAGCCGGGCCAGAGGTGGCAGAGGAGGAGTCGTCCCTGCTGCCCGGGCGCTGTCGCCTTCCTTCCTTCTCCTTCCTTCCTCCCATGGGGGTGGGGGGGCAGAATGCTGGACTCTGTCCATAGGCTCTGGAACTTCATGTGACACGGTCGTGCGCGGTCCTCCTTTCATCCTGCTCCTGTCACCACGCTTCTGAAGCTCACCCGGGGGTTCCAGGGGGGCAGCAGCTTCTCCCTTTTTGTTAAGGGCATCCCTGTGCGTGTGCTGTGGTCTGGGAAGTCACCTCTGCATCTTGATGTGGACGTCTGCTGGCCTTCTTGGGAATGGGCCTCGCGCACTGGACTGTTCACTTACAAATGGCTAAGATGGCAAAGTTGCTGTTATGTGGGCTTCGCCACCATTCAAGTCGTGCCACTGATTGTCCACCTTTTCCTTCAATAGGAAACAGAGGCTTTGGAACCCTGGCCCCATTCTGAGGGTCACCTTCGTGAAATTTCCCTGCCGGAGTAACAGGCCTGCCCAGCATTGGGACATTGGAGGGGACTGTGGGGCACTGGGCATGGGTCCCTTAGTACTGGCACTTCTATTTTTTTTAATTTTTTTTTTATTTTTTAGTTTTTCAGTGGACACAACATCTTTATTTATATGTGGTACTGAGGATTGAACCCGGGCCACACGCATGCCAGGCCAGCACGCTACYGCTTGAGCCACATCCCCAGCCCCAGTACTGGCACTTCTAAAGGGCATAGAATTTGGGAACTGTTTACCCCAAAGATTAGGACGTTTCTCACAGAGCCAGTAGTTGACCTCACAATCCCCGTGGGGGGCAATTTAAGAGCGCTTCTTTGCCCAAACTCTCCCCACCAGGGTTCATCCCGCTCCAGGTGGGGTGGAGGGGAATGCTTTCTGCATGAAAGGTGCATTTTGCCCCCTCAGTCTAGCAGGTCCCACTGCAGCTCACTTGGAAGACAGTCCCCCTCTCGTGCTGTGTGCAACCCGGTGTTTCCGCTGACTTCCTCTCTGCCTGCCAGCTCTCAGCATCCCCAGTGCATGTGCTGCTAAGTGGACGCCAGCTCCCACTCTCAGGGTGCCAACAGCTTCCAAATTGAATGGTCTCTCGCTCCTCCACACCCAGCTAGACCACTGCCATGGCCAGTGTCCCTTGGGTCAGATGCAGTCATGTGGCAGAGCTTAGCCAATGGGATGTAGGTCCCTAGAGTGTGTCACTTTCAGGCCTGATCCAGGGGAGCTCCCAAGGAAGTACCACCATGCCCTTTCCCCTCCCCTGCTGGGTGCTAATGCACAGGGAAGACTCAGGCATTGGTGGCAGAGTGCTGTCAGCTAGGGACCGTGAAAACTGTGGAGCAGAACATTAGTCTCGCTTCAGCTCCGGCTGCAGCCCTGCCATGGCTGTTGCTTAACAATGGACAAGCAGCCATCAGTCAATGGATGATTGATGGATCTTTAATCTCTCAAGTTTGCAGTACTCTTTACTGTATTTTCCTGGGTTCCACTTTTCCCCTAGAATTTCTGACTCTTCCCTCCTAGTCTGGCTTGGAGCTATGCCTCTTCTCACAGGCTCCTGGAGCGCATCCATCTCCGCTCCTGCAAATTCCTAGGGAGAAGCAATTCCCATGCTCATGGGTTGGGTCCACCAGCCCCAGGGATTTCAGGAAGCCCTACCCAGTCGCACCATTGCCCTGTCACATGTGGCCTCTAGTAAGCAAGGCGGGGAGAAGTTCAGACACAGAGAGGTACTCAGGAGATCCGTGTTCTCACAGGGAATGGCGTCCACAGGCAGGGCTCTCCAAGGCATCCTGGGTTTGGGGGAAGTGCTTTGTAAAAATAGGAGGCCCTGATCCAGGATACGATGGTACCCAGCAACTTCCTTGGGTTTGGCCTTGAGTGGGTGTTGTGCTGAAGTAACAGCCTGCCTGGCATTGGGACATTGGAGGGGTTTGTGGGGCACTGGACATGGGTCCCTTAGTACTGGCACTTCCAAGACACTGGAACCTGGACACCTGACTAGAGTCTAGCCTCTGTAGATGAAGGAACCGCCCCATTCAGGTCCTGCCTCTGAGGAGTCATATCCCAACCGTCCTTTCCATCAATAAATAATTATATTGAAGTATTTATATATGGCGAAGCCACCAATCAGTGTGCGGTGGCTCTAAGTGCAGCCGACACCACAAGCAAGGTACAAGCCTGGTTGTTATTCAAACCCAGCCTCTGCTGTTCCAAACCACGGTTGCGTAAGGACATCACTGAGGAAGTGAGATGAGGTGGTGGCTGTCTGCAGCCCTGTGACCCCTTCCTGGGGCTCCACACTTCCAGTTTGGATCCCCCAAAGGATGGTTCAAGGCTTGGCCCCCTCCCTCGTCCTGGAGCCTTCCCAGGACAGGCGCCCCCTGTTCTCAAGTTCACAGTGAGGTYAGCTCTCACGGTCGACCTAACTGGGCTGTTTGCAGCTTGCTGCTCTGGAAAAGTCCCKGGGAGAAGGAAAATACAAATGTGTGGGCCATCTATTTGGAATGAGTGAGGGGGAACCCCTGCAAATATTAATATTTCAATAAATARCCCAGGCCTGGGACCTGGGTTATATGAATTCCTTATGCTCAGAGTCAGGGCTGACACTGGGCCGCACCCCGGGCTGCCACACAGGTGGTTAGGGTGTAGAAAAGCCTGGGTGTCAGTTAGGCTGGGACTGTGGGCCACACAGACACGGGCCGGGCCTGCAGGACCCTCATGGCCTGGGTCCACTTCAACCAGATGTTAAGCATCGAGACTGGCCTCCGTGACGGAGAACACACAACTCCAAAACAAATGATTCAAGTTCAAATCCACACTTTGACTTTACAGAGACCAGGGACACTGTCCTGCTCGCTTGGACCAGTTTCTGCTATTCCTTCTCAGTCCTCTCCACACGGGGACTGTGGGTGGGACTGGGCACAGGTGACCCCTAGATAATTCCGAGTGTCCATGCAACCTTTTGTTTTTCGCGCTGAGTGCCCCCCGTTGAAACACTCTTCACCGAGAACCTGAAGTCCATGTTTATGGTCCTGGRCCAGTAGCAGGAGAGATTCTGGGGGCCTGTGGGCTACCCGGTCAGGCTTCTTTGAACCTTGTGATGGGACTGCATTTAATTAGGAGCTGGGAAGCCCCCCGGTGGCACTGGGAGTGACAGAATCCCCTGCTCTGCCTCATGGCAAAGTCTGCATGAGCTGGCTCCGAGGGGCCGAGCGCCTGCCTGGCCCTGCCTTGCCCTCGGAGCCTGGGGTGCCGGGGGCTGCTGAGGCTGGCAGGTGGCTTTGGAAGGGAGCAGCTGTCCTCTTCCCAGGGTGTTCCAGGACGAGAGCCAGGAGTGGGAAAGCTGGGCCCCCACTTATCGCCCAAGGACCCTGGATAACAGGGAGCGCGGCTTCTAGGCCTCCCTGGTTGGGCAGGGCCAGAGGGACTGGCCTCGGCTTGAGATCCTCAGCCACATAAAAGGGGCTTCAGGGCAGGCAGGCGACACCTTTCCTGACCGAAGCACCATGGCCTCCCTGTGGCTTCTCTCCTGCTTCGCCCTCCTGGGGACCGCCTTCGGTGAGTGTTGGGACCCAGTAACYGGCCAGGCCTGGGAGGAGGCCAGGGAGGAGGTTCCTGAGCCCCCGGTGGACCCTGCAGCGGGGCCCCATTGGAGGAACCAGAGGGGCATGGCCCTGAGCTAGGGCTGAGCCCCATTCCCTGTCCCCAGGAGCAGGACACAGGCMCCTGCAGGGAGGAAAGGGGACCCTCTGAGCCCTCCCACCCTGCTCAGTAGGGGAAAAGACAAACCTACACCCAGCCACGGTCTGTGGCCCAGAAGGGGCCCAGCTGGGGTGCTGGTGGGGTGAGGGCTACAGACCTCCCTGGCGTCCACACAGTGTTCGTATTTATCATGCTGGGCACGTGCTGAGCATTGTGTTTTCTATTAAAGAGGAAGAAAAGAGATAATAAAAAGAAAATGGCATCCACGTCTCTACTGTCAGGATTTAGCAGTTCTTTTTGTAGGTTCGCTTCAGGTATTACATCTTCTCTTGTTAATTATTTTTATTTTATTTTTGGAAGGTTTTGGTTTTCTCTTGAGGCTGCCCCTAAACTGCTAGGCTCTAAGCAATCCTCCTGCCTTGGCCTTCCAAGTGGCTGGGATTATAGCTGTGCACCACTTAGCTCAGCACCCTGCTAAGATGTTTTTATTTATTTCTTTGTTTTATTGGTGATTGAACCCAGGGTTGCTCTACCATTGAGCTACATGCTCAGTCCTTTTTTATTTTTTGAGTCAGGCTCTTGTTAAGTTGCAGAGGCTGGCCTCAAACTTGCAATCTTCCTGCCTAAGCCTCTCAAGTAGGGCGTATGACATCCCCTGCTCCCAACAATCTAACAGCAAAGCTTTGACCTGGGAAGCTGAATTGTTCTCTCCATTTAACAGCTGAGAAAGCTGAGAATTGGAGTGCAGCCTTGACTGGTCTAAGGTCTCCAGAGAAGAAGGGGGACCTAGAGGTGGAGCCCAGGCAGTCTGATGGCCCAGCCCATTTTTGCCTTCTGGCAGGGCAGGTCTGGGTGGGGACAGCCATGTCCATCTGCATCCCTGGAAGCATGACTGAGATTGGCAGTCTGTGGGTGGGGGACTCTTGAGCCAGGAAGTTGGAGGGAAGCTAGGGGAATTTTCCAGAGGAGGTGGTACTGTTCTGTGGGGTCCTGAGCTGGACTGGGGGGTTGAAGTAGAAATCAGGAATTCTGCAAAATGGGCAGTTTAGGTCAGATTGAATCCCAGCTAAAGCCCTTCACCTGGCTCCCTTATGGYCCCCTCAGGCTGCGGGGTACCTGCCATCCACCCCGTGCTGAGTGGCCTGGCGAGGATTGTCAACGGAGAGGATGCTATCCCTGGTTCCTGGCCCTGGCAGGTGTCCCTGCAGGTGAGAGGGGCATTCTGGGGTGCTGGCCGGGCTGGGGTACAGGCTGCAGCCCAGGTGGGAGTAGTGACCCTCATCTTCTTCCTCACCAGGACAAAACCGGCTTCCACTTCTGCGGGGGCTCCCTCATCAGCGAGAACTGGGTGGTCACCGCTGCCCACTGTGGAGTGAAGTGAGCACTGGGAAGCCTTGGGATTCGCTACCAGCTCCAGTCAGGGTGAGGCAGGGCGCAGGGCCCACTCCCCRTCCTCAACCCTCCATGTCTCATTGCCTAGGACAACCGACCTGGTGGTGGCTGGAGAGTTTGACCAGGGCTCCAATAAGGAGAACATCCAGGTCATCAAGATCGCAAAGGTACACAGGCCTGCTGGACAGGGCAGGGGCCCAGCTCAGGGGCAGAGGAGCTGGCACAGGAAGGGAACGCGGTGGGGCTGGGATGGCCCCAGAATCCTTTTTCCTGGCTCCTGTGGGTCTGCGGTCCTGAAGGGCCACCGGAAAGAGCCTGTCTCCTGGAAACCCGCAGACCCTGAGCGCTTGTGGGCCTCACCTGTCTGGTCCTCGCCCACAGGTTTTCAAGAACCCCAAGTTCAGCATGCTGACTGTCCGCAATGACATCACCCTGCTGAAGCTGGCCACRCCTGCCCGCTTCTCCCAGACTGTGTCTGCTGTGTGCCTGCCTGACGCTAATGACGATTTCCCCGCTGGGACACAGTGTGTCACCACCGGCTGGGGCAAGACCAAGTACAATGGTAAGTGTGACCTGCCTTTGCACAGCAGGTGCTGTCCCTGGCATTGGGGCTGCCGGACCAGTGGGAGTCTCCAGCTGGGCCTTATCTGGCTTTTATTTATTTTTTTCTAATTCCCAACATTCGTAAATCTTCCCATTCCTTTTTTAAAAATCTATAAAATGTCCAAATGAGTTAAAAATTTAAAATCGACCAAATGCAAATAAAAATGAAGGTCAAAGGGTGATAGTGGTATGCTTGATCAGAAAGCCCCTAAACCTAGGCACAAGTAGGGAGGCCTCACAGGCCTGTGTGGGACCCACAGGGGACGTGTCCAGTGTGGGCGTCTGTCCGGCTCAGGCAGGGAGTGTCCAGCTCCCCCGTATGGCTAGGAGATCAATGCCCAGTCTGTTCAGAGTCCTGAGAAGGAAGCCTGGCTCACCTGCCCCGAGCCACCTCTCAGCTTATTCTCCATTTTCTCCCTGCGGAGGCCCCTGTTCTGTTGCCAGACAGAAGCGGCCGAGGAGGGGCGGAGGGAGGTGCTTCCTGGCCCTCTCTGAGAGTGGCGGGTTGCAGGTGTCCCCTTCCCTGGGAAGGAAGAAGGGGCTCCTCATGCTGCCTGCCCTCAGTGGCTGCTGAGCGGAGGCCCCAGGGCTGGCAGGGTGGGCCTGACAGGCGCTGTGCCCACAGCTGATTTTAAGGATCAGGAACTTTCCTGGTCCCCTGCTCTCCGTGGCTGGTGGGGCTGAGGGTCCCTGACTTTGCCTTCTCTTGTCTCTTCAGCCAACAAGACCCCTGACAAGCTGCAGCAGGCAGTCCTGCCCCTGGTGTCCACTGCTGACTGCAAGAAGTCCTGGGGCAGCAAGATCACTGATGTGATGGTCTGTGCGGGGGCCAACGGCGTCTCCTCCTGCATGGTACGGCCACTCGGTGCTGTCCACTCCCTGACAGAGCCTAGACCTGGTCAGGCCAGGAGGGCCACAGCTCTCCTCCCTCCCCAGAGGCCTGAGCTGCCCACTCCCCTCTGCCCTTCTCTGCTTACCTTCACCTTCCCCAGTGCCCACCAGAAGGCCAGACTGATGCTAAAAGATACCCAAGGAGGGTCCCCTGGCCAGGCCTGGTGCGGTGCTGCCCACGGGAATCCAGTCCCCACATGGGCTCTGTGAGCTGGAGGAGCCAGCTGGCTTCAGACGATGGCCAGGCTCCTCCAGGAGCAGAGCTGGACTGCCACCCAGTCCACATGTGCGCAGTTTGGTCATGATCACTGTGCCCACAAAAGTCGTTTCCC